TGAACCAGTATTGATAGGTTTGAACATAGCTGTCAGCTTTCAGGTAGCAAGGTAAAACTTTAGTCCTATAACCACTGCAAGTAAATTCTTCTAACAACCTGAAGGACCAAGGAAACAGTGTTTTTCCTGGAACTTCCATAAAAGAACACAGCTGTGCTGACACTTTACACCCCATTTTGGATTTCTGATGTATGGAAGAGAAAAATAGTAAATTTGTGTTTTTTGAAGCTACTAATGTTGTGGTAATTTTTACAGTGGCATTAGAAGAATACAACTCATTTAGCCAATATTAATAAATTTTGTCATGCAAAATTAAAAGAAACAATTTAAACTGTTTCTCTTATTTTTGCAAATGAAGAAGTCAAGTTTTCATAATCTTTCTGGACCTCAATTTCTATGTCTGCTGCTGTGAGTATAAAAATAAATATGCTTAATAAACACAATGAAACACAGGGTCCATAGTAGACTTTGAAAGAATTATACCTATTGTTAACATTAAATGCTTATTAATAGTTTTCCAAATGCCTGACATTATACTTGGTGCTCTCAGTATAAGGAAGATGACCCTACTTCAAGAACCCAGTCAGCTAATATATTTTTAGTAAAGTCTAAAACTTAATTTTTCAACTACTAAATGTATAAAACAACAAATAATAATTGGTGTTCATAGATCCCAATCCAGAATTATCTCTACTATGTTGATAATAAATCAGATACCAAGCATGAGAAGTTATTTCAGTAGTACTGGAGTTTTGGTAAAGTGATAGCTGAAAGCATAACTGCTGTACATCATTATTTTATTCTTACTGTAAACTGATAATTGTATTTTTTCAGCCATATTCATAGTTAAGATTGATCTGCAGAGTTCATTATTGTTTATTACTTTTTAAACTTATGATAGTCTAATACAGTGAATTGGCATGCTTTCATTTTAGTATTCCTATCCCCTGTGGATAGAGTGTGTCATTTAAGATTTTCAATAATTTGGAAGAACTCTCCAAAATTTTTCAGTGTCGGAAATATTTTTCAGAATATTTTTATAATTTATTTAATTTCTTCAAAACACAGTAATTTATTCTGGAATATTAAACATTTTATTTATGCCCTCAAAATTAATTTGAGTCGCTTGACATAATTTCAGGAAGACAAATTTTACCTCACTTACAAGCTAATTAGTCAGCCTGTTACAGTTTTGTGGGTGCTGAGAGAAAACATGACATTCCTGGGTCAGAGATAAAACATTTTATTAATCAAAAAGCAAAGCCAATACTAGGAATGTCATCAAACTTGTTCAAGTTTCCTTTGCCCTGAAGTTCCACAAGGTGACACAGAGGGTAACATGAAACCTGCCTGAGCAGTATATTGCACACAGAGGGATTCAGAGCTTAAAGAATCCACTATTTTGATGGCAAACGGAGAGACATTATCTAGGGTTCCTAGCCTTATAGTGAGTAAATAAAAATTCTCCCTTCCTGACAGGCTCAACAAGCTTAAGTTTACCATAAGTAAAATCTAAATTCTGCACTGGTTTGGCTTCCTAGCCTCAAGAGGTTTTTTAAATATGAGATTTCTATGTTTTAAAATAAGTTACGTTTCTTAACAAAATGTATCCAAAGCTTTAAAAAGAAATTATAGCTCTATGCATTGTTTTGAGTTCTTGTTATCTACCTATAGACACTATATCCTAAATTCTTCTAGATTTCTCCAATTCAACTTTCTTCCGTGGAATTTCTTAATATAGAAACTGTTCTATTCCTAAAGCCCTATGAGTAAAACTAAATAAGTTTTAAGAAACAAATCTTGTGTCTAATGTCTGAACAACACAGAAAGATCACCAACTGCCTAGTCATAACCAGAGGCAGTCAAACTACAAATAAGGACAAAAGTTGATAGTTTCATTCTATGGACAATTTTTCCCAAAACTTAGAAATAAGATTTCATATGGTAATGAAACTGTTATCCCTCCTAATGCCTACCTTTTACCTTGACAATATATCGACCATTTAAAATATTTAGTTGGTTCCCTTTAATCCTAAATTCATGACTCAAGACTATTATACAAACTAAAATTGTTATATTACTGTAAATTTTACTTTGTATTTCCCCTTTTAAACTTTGTGTCTGTTACTTGTTAAGTATTTACAAAAGTACAACTCCTAATAACATAATTCTGACCTAACACTTTGGGATGATAACAAACACATATGAAACAGACAAAATTAAACTTGACAATGGACCCCAGGCAGACGTAGCCGGACAGCCACTCCCTATACACTTTCTTGTTGCTCAAATGTGGCTATAACAAGTTTTAACACTAATGCCTAGCTGTCATTCACTCCCTCTAATGTGAAACCAGACAATCAACCCGAGATAGGTCCATTCCAGTACTGAAGGATGTCAAAACCTAACTACAGTATTATTGATCTGTAATACTTTCCAAACATTTCTTAACCAAATTGGGGAAATTGAACATTGTCAGAATCAAAATGGAATCACTTGTATATGTGTGTGTGTTTTTAAAGGCCCTGGCAGAGTCAGGAATGGCCATAAAAGGATTCTGATGCATAATTTCCTAATAACAAAAATTATCACAAAAGATTTTGCAAAAATTAATAAACATTGCTGAAATATTATTCCAACCTTACACAAAAAAATACTTCAGAGGGGACATTTGCCCAGAAACTGCCTGTCCAAATCCAGACTGACACTACCCTTGTTTTTGATTCTTACAGCTAAGAATAATTACCTCATAATGATGATGTAGTTCTTCTTATTTTTCTTATAAAATATTCATCTTCCTTTACCTTTCTGAATACATATATAGCTTACTATGGCAGATATATCCCTATAGTCTTCCCAAATAAATATTATTTTATTTTAGAAAACATTTTTCTGTTTCTTACTTAGTTTGATACTATATTTTGGCATTTTATAATGAAAGTCTAGGAAAATATCATATATGGAGTTGATTTTAAGTTATTTAGGGGAAATCATCTATATTAATCAGTACTACAGTCCTAAAGTCTGATAACTTACTCAAATAAATTAGCTTAACAAATAATCTAGTATTAATACACCACTTATGTAAGATCAAGGTATGGCTAAATAATTTAAAAAACAATTAAGAAATGTATTAGCATGTTAAACATTTTGGCTTAAATCATATAATCTGTAAGTGGCAGGAATGAAAGCTAACAGTATTTGTGGAGCTTGAGGGCAGGCTCACCCAACTCAGCACTACCCAACCTCATTCCCCTACCTCCCCCCACTGAAGTGGAGAATAAGGACACACCTGGAAGTCCCAGGGTTCCATCTATCACCTGAGGCACTAGAGTGCCTCTCCAGAAGTACAAGAGCTGGTTACAGGACCCCAAAACAATACTGTTGCTTGCTCCTCCCAGCAGGCACCATATTCTGGCAGGAAGGTAATTCTGCACACTTTTTACTGCATCTACTGACTCATCATACAAGGCATGGTTGTATCTCAGGCACAAACACCACCTACTGGCTCAGAGACTACACAGGGTGTGTCATTATAAAAAGAAATCTTAGAAATGTGGTGAGCATTTTAGAGGGGAAGGGCATAACTCTAACCCTTCTTAGGGAGAGGTAAGGTTATACAATGTAACCAAAATGTCAAAAAAACAAAAACAAGCAAACAAAAAAGGAAAAGAAAATAAAAACTTTTTATCGGGTGGTGGGCAGGTGGGAGGGGGGAGGAGGAAAGGGGTGTATGCTTACATGGCGTGTGTGATGCACACCACCCTGGAGTTGGACACATGGGGGGGGCAGGGGCAATGTTTGTAACCCTAGCAGTATTTGTACCTCCATAATATGATGAAATAAAAGGAAAAAAAATAGAAAAAAGAAGGAAAATCTGAAGGCTAGAAGCAACAGCTGATTCAGATGGGAAGGAATCAACAAAAGAACTCTGGAACTATAAAGAATCAAATGGAAAGCACTCCCCCAAAGGGGAACACCAGCCCTCTAGCAATGGACATCAACCAAATTTAGAACACTAAAATGGCAGAAGAAGAATTTCTGTTTCTTTAATTTATACTTTAGCTTGGATAGTAGATATAAGGTGCCCATGTCTGTGTACAGAAAGACTTGTTTGTTATTGTTGTTAAAATCAGCCGTTCACATTGAACTATAACTTGTTGAGGGTAAGTAAGATATGTCTTCATGTTCACTTGCCAAGTTTGTAGGCCTATACACACAATATGTTACAAAATGACCTCAACTGATTTTCCTAATCAGCAAATGTTATAAGGGAAGAAAATCTTACATCCAAATTATGTCTAAAATTGGAACTGTTTATTGTAAATAGGCATTGAAACAGTCACACAAAGTCTACTGCCATTTTGAGAAGACCCATTCTTTGCCCTGGATACTACATTCACGATAGTATGATATAAATAGGCAGATACAATGATATCCTTATATGTTAGGCAAGAGTCCTGTCTGAATTAGTGAGCAGCAGAACTAATGATTCCCTCAATCTTGATTGATGTTCCATAGCTATTAGAACACTTTGTGTTATATCCATGGAAGACCGATGGGACTTGAACAATCTTCCTAAACAACTATCTATTTTGAGCCCCACTCATTTGAGCAATGACAAGATATCTCAAAGGTCAATTATGTTAACTAACAAGCTCTTGCATCTAGATTTTTTCCAAAAGAATTTGGAGTATTAACCCACTAGATAGGTCATGACATTATAAAGGTACTTCAAATACTAATTAACTGAACACAAGGTACACATTTGACATAACTCCCACAGCCATAAAGACATTCTATTTATAGCAATTTTTATTGTATACATTTTACTTATAGCAATATTATAACAAAATGCATCCGATTGTAAAAGCACAAAAATGCATAAAGAATAAATGTGTGAATGATTAACAATTATTATAGTAGATATATAGCAGAATCATTTCACATTTTAAAGAATGTTTTAAAAATACAAAGTATTCAAAATTTCACCAATCAAGTTTCAGTTTCGTGTTGTCCCTTGCTTGATGAGCAAAGCACTTCAGCACTGAGTTTCATCATCTGTGAAGTTGATAAAAAATTCATGTTTATAGCCATATTTTTCATGGTAATAGAATAATGTAAATATGCTTTCTGAACTGAACAGAGCAAGGCAATTAAATGTTTATTGTTAAGTAGAATACAAATTAATATTTTGGGTATTGAGAATATTAATTTAAATTTGGAAGTAGAAAATATAATTAAATTGCCAGAAGAGTAAAATGACAAAATATAATAGAAATTGAAAATATATAAACTTATTAAAGAAGTCCTAAAAGGTCACTTAACAGCAAAGTGACCAATTTCAGAGAGTGGCAGAATGGGAGTCATCTTAGGAGACACATGGTTGTGCTACATTTTGATAAAATATAAGGATAAAAGTAAAAACATTATATTTAATCCTAGACATATAGATAAGAAAGAAAAAGTATACTAGATATTATGTGGATTAAATTGAAGAGAGTATGAATGGGGGACAGATTTAGAATATTGTTCCAAACTGCCAATACCTATTCACTTCAACAGCTTTGATTGACTGTGAAGAGGTATCTTCTCACAAGGGCTCCACTCCCTAAGGAAAGCCACAAAGCCTTTGCATTTTTAGTGTTACCTGCCTATCATCAAGGAGAAATAAACAAGGAAAGAAAACTAACATACATAGGATCATAAAGCTTTAAATACAACTAGAACATATTATGGTCTCTGGTCTGTACTATCTAGCTTTCTATTGAGATGATTCCTGAAAGATTTGCCTACCTGTTGGCTTCTGAGAACAGGGCTTATAAAACCTCTACCCTCCGGAAATTATGTCTTTTCTCTCTATCTTAATAAAGGTATTGCCCCTGTTTTTTTCCCTAAAAAATGGCTTACATAGAAACATTCTCCTAAAAAGTGCCAAGGAAATCTGTATCTCCACTTCTTTGTGATACCAGTTTCAACACATCATCAATATTAAAAAATATTCCTGAGATATCTTGTAAGCTGTGTCTTCTTATGCAGCTTTTGAAATCCAGTGTATATTTTACATGTACAGCACATCTTAATTATGACTCGTCACATCTCAAATGCTCAATAGCCACATGTAGACAGTGGCTACTATGTTGGATAGCAGAGATACAAACAAGTTTTACTGAAAGTTGTTTGATTCATATAATTTTCCCACACATTAACAACAACAAGTAAAATAAATTGAACTTTATATAAAATAAGATATATTTATTGACTGCATATTTAAATTGAAATTCTTTGTGCCTTGTTCTTTTTCCTGGTTTGTAAATAGTAAGAAAAGAAAGTCGAGCATTTGCCACTTAAAGTAATGTCCCAACACTTGGAGAAGAGAGTACTCAGATTTCTTTCTAAAGTATCTTTTCTAATAAATCTAACAGATGATTAGAAGATTTTTGTAATACTCTATTTTCTGAAGGATTTCTTTTGCAAATTATTAAAATAATATAATATTTGTATAAAAAAGGAAGATTATCCGTATAGAGTAAAGACTATCTTCTAGAGACTTTTCTTTCTATTCTACCAGTTCTACTAAGGCAAATCTTTAAAGTCAACTTTTTTCTTCATCCTGGCCTATAGATTGTGTTGTAGATTTGATTACTTGCATGAAAGTTAGTCATGTTCATCTGAACAATTCAGTTGTTTTGTACATATAATCATAGTCTCTAAAATGAATTATCTCTTAAAAAAAGTTTGATATTTCCCAATATTGTTTTTCACAAATGATAAATTCCAGTAGCAATTTCCTTTGAATAAAGAGAGGTACCTGTAAATAGGAAAAAATCTGATCTGAAATTCTTGAATAAATGCCTGGTAAATATTAAAATTGATTCATTGCAATGAAATCATAGTCCCTTTGGTAGCCCATGAAAAAGAAAAATCACAATAGCTGTAGTAAGAGTTATAATAGGCTATTTAAATTACAACTGACCCTGAATAAATATTTTTACATAAATTTACTTCAAGGCTACTGATTCCTTCTGTCCTTCATACACACAATTTTAGCTCAAAGAAGTTGTTCTTCATACAAATAAATTTAAAAGAGACATTTGCTAAAGAATATGTCATCTTTTACAGTAAATACATCACATTTTTAAAATGTGAGTGTATAACATGTTTTCAAGGTAAACACACCACATTTTTTTCAATTCATATTATCTATACAGACAACAACACTCATTGGCTTTTATTACTTATAGCTATCCACAGCTCTTTAATTCAATAATAGGAATATGCTTTCTATATAATTTTTAATATTAATATCCTATCTAAGAGGTATAGATCTACTTACTACACTCCTTGGATAATATGAAATGGAATATATATATCTATGAATATTAGGTTAATTGAGATGCATCTATTATATTAAGAAAGACATTTATTTCTAAATGTAATTAAATATAGTCTTCCAAAATATGTCATTCTATTAAACATAGAAAAGCAAATAAAGAGTGCTGAGCAGGTATATACATTTTAATTTGTTTACAGGTTAACTTTCATCTGACTACCCAAGTCGACTCTTCCCAAAGTTCAGTAATATAAGAGTGGAAGCATCATAAGGGGATTGTCTAAAAGTTATCACAAAGGTAATATCAAAGATTAAATGAAAATTTCTCTGAAAATTATAATAAATACATACAATTTTTTCTATAATTACAGCAGTTTTATGGAAAAAGTGAGCTTTTAAGTTTATATATTTTTAAATGACACACCTTTTTGTTGTAGATAAAGAAGTGCCAAGTGATGGGAATAAAGTGAAGAAGCATATCATGAGATTGGATTAATGTTGAGAAAAGTGGCAGATGAGTTTTAAGACATTCTCTAAGACTGTGTCCATGGACATACTTTCTGTTGCGAGTCTGCAATGAGACAAGGAACATGTGAGAAGGTAAATGACTTATGCTATGTTGTAAAGCACGCTGTATAGATAAAAAGTTTGAAGGTTCAAATAAAGTAGCACAGGGTTGATAAGAATCAAGTTACCAGCAGGGTTTAAGCTTCATCTGAAGGCTCTAGAGAAGAATTTTTTCCTTACCTAGTCTGGCTTCAGGTGGCTGCCAGTGCTCCATGTTTTGTTGCTGCAAACAGTATCTGTTTCCCTGATCACATTGTCTTTTACTGTTATCTGTGAAATTTCTCTCTGCTTCTTTCCTATACGGAAACTTGTGATTATATTTTGGGTCCTCTAGATAATCCAGTAAAATCTCCCTATGTCAGGATCCTTAATGTAATATCTGCAAAATCTTTTCCACATAATATTCATGGGTTCCAGGGATTAGAATGTGGATATCATTTAGAGGGCCATTACACAGGCTATATCAACATTAAATCGATTTATCAAGAGATGAATGGTAAACAAGAAGTACTAAAAAGTAAATAATACATTTGCCATTCATTCATTAAAATAAAAAGCTGAATAATTCAGTGGTAAAGCAAAGTACTGTTTGCTTTTATAGTGCACTTTTTGACCCTTAGTAATATTTTATTTGATATCCTATTTTTTTAATGAATTCTAATATAAGGAACTTCTCATTGTTGATTATAAATTTTTATTTGCTAGTGTGTTATGATTACATAATAATATATAATCCTTAATTTTATATGTGTATGGATACATGATATTAAATTCATAATAGTTTATAATGCATTCTGGAATGTCGAGAAAATATCAGACATTTGAATAATAAATTACTGTATTTTATAATGACTTAAATATCTCAATCTCTCTTAAGTTTAATAACAGTTAAATCTACCGTTACAAATACCCAAAGACACTATATGTTAATTTTTCATCTTACAAAGCTGTTTTATGTTAATGTTCTTTCTCAAGTTAGTATAGATGTTGACAAAGATACTGTCTTGGACTAAAATTTAGGCAGGATTCTCTGAGCCTCATTATAGGCCCCACCCTTGAGCAAGTCTTCCAAGAGTCCCATTTTAGCAAGAATCCTGCCAAATTGTTTTAGCTAGGATACCAACCCTCATTATCTGATCCCCCTGAATTGCCTTCAGCAAGAATTCTTTTAGGTAGGTTAAGCCAAAGTCCCACCTTACTCCTGAAGTTTCTTCTTAGTAATTTTCCATCCACTGACCCCCACCAAGCTTCTTGGCTATAAACTGTATTTTTTGTTTTTGTATTCAGAATTGAGCACAATTTCTCTTTCCTACTGCAAAACTCCACTGCAGCAGTTCCTAAACCTATCCTGATTGTTCAGGATAAAGTCTGCATTACTCTTTTAACAAGTGTTCTGAATAATTTTTTCTTTAACAATTTGAGTTGCATTCCATAGCTGCAAATACATATGTATTACACATTTTTTTTGTTCTCCTTAAAGGTGTAAAGGCAAGGCAAAAAGCCACCAGGGACCAAATAAAATCAAGGACCAAAGAATTAGAGTGTATGGATACATGCACACAATTTTATCTCTTGGCCACGTGTCACAATTTTATGTGCTTCCTAGAATTGAAATATTAAATTATTTAAATTAAACTTATGCAAATAAGCTGTTCTTCCAGGATTTTATTTTCCTTTATTGATGTTTGCTATAGAGTTTTACATTCTACAGATAGCATACTGAGATTTGCGTTGTTACTTCTTTTGTTCTGTTGATAAATGATAGCTTTTCTTTGTTAATTTTTCTTCATTTAGATACGGATATAATTCATACAAAAGTTTATATTTATAATTTGTACATCTCATGCATTATCTGTAAGGGCTATAAGAAGATATGGGCATATTCAATGTCAAGTGTTTTTTATAAATTGTAGGAGTTTGGCAACATCAAATCAATTATTTCCTCAAGTTTATTTCAACTTAGCTGGATCATAGCTTAGATTATGTGACCTCCCTAAATACTAGCGCATCCTAATATTGTATTATTTCAATAACTCAAACAGTTGAGGCAGATTTTTAAACACTACAAAGAGTGACTCCAATCTAAGGGAAATGTGTACTATTAAGTTATAGTAAAAACAATGGGTAAATTAACACAGCCTATGAACTCCTTTATCAGACAACATTCTACCATTTAGGGGATTGATTCTGACAACCATGTCTGTACAACTTCAACATAAAGGCCACAGTAGATGGGGTAAGATACCTCAAACTGGATCAAGCAAATTTTCTTTTAAGGAATTTTAAATTGAGAAGTAAAGACACTAATTTCTCCCTGAATGCTCCATTTGAAGTTAGGTACTTTAGGCTGGTCGCCTTCTACCAAGTGCTTAGAGATGCAGAGAAACCTATTAAAACAGAAGACAACATGCAGGAAACATGAAGATCTAGTGATACAAAGTAAGTGCCTAGTTTTCACACACTTTCAGTTTCTAATTTCAGTCCACCATGAAGCACCACTGTACTTACTTGAACTAGTGTTTCACCAGATATTATACCGTGAAGCAAAAGGAATATTTATTTAAATATCTTCTCACATTTTGGAGATATGATAAAAGACAGATATAACCCTTCCTCCAAAAAAAAAACAAAAAAAAAAAACGGCATTTTAGAATGCTGGCATTGATAGAATAAGGCCTGATTTGATAGAGCATATATGATTCTAGAATGAAGGAATAAAATACATGAATTTTGAAATACTAAATGTATTAGATTACTTTTGTTTGTTATTGTTTTGGTTAAGCTCTAACACAGTAGTAATGTCCTCTTGTTTTTTATTTAATGTAGAGTTTTTTTTTAAGATTTCTCTATTTGTTGAAATGTAATCTATATTTACTATTTACTAAGTGCATAACATAACCAGGCCCTCTCTTTCACACATATTTTCTAAATTAATTCTCACAATGTCCCATCCAGAAAGGTAAGATATCTACAAATTTAATGGAAGATCAAGTTAACATTCAAATGGTGATCACAATCACCCAGCTCATATGTCTCAGAGTTGAAATTGCAATCCAGGTCTGGTATGAAAGTTCATATCTCTGATTTTCTCATTTTTCCATCAAAATTCACTTGCAGGCAATTTACCTTGTCCAGTCTTTTATCATAAGATAACATAGCTAGCCCTGTGTTTCAGTTTCCATGTATACTTTGGATAAATTCTCTCTTCTTCAGAGGCAAGTCACTAAAGAGAGGGATATGTAATCTCTAGATATGATTTTGAATAAAGAAAAAAATCCAAATAAATCAATTTCGAATTCCGACCCCAGTTATGGGTTTATCCCATCAGAGTAATCTGGTCTTAGTTTTCATTTTGGAGAATATTCCTATATATTCCTATATAAATAGACACATAGGCAAACCTGGGAGAGGATTTGTAATGTGAGATAGCAAACATTCCCAACATGTTACAGTGCAAGGCACATGGCACACATCATCACTGTCCATTTTGCCTTTTTTAGGCAGCCTGATTATAATATCTTAGTAAAGAAACTCATTTCATCAACTTCTTCAAGCCCTGTCAGATATTGTCAGAGATTTATGCTCTTGCAACTATAATTTACATATATGAAATATAACATTTCAGTATTCTTTCCCTCTAAATTTTGAAATTAAATATAAAATTCTGTAGTTCCTGGCAGTTTAAGAATTTTAAAGATTATCTAGTGAAAATAGGTTTTTGCCTTCTAATGTAGAGAGAATATAATATCTTTTAAAAATGCAGTGTATTGATAAAGTCATCTCTAAGAATATAGTTGGTGATAGTAAGTGGGTGTGTGTGTATCTGCATTACACATACATATATACATATATAAGTAAATATAAGTGCCTGTATATAATATTCTAAATACTAAAAGTAAATCTGAAAATACTCTTAAACATCAGTAATTTTTAAATGTAGTAAAATGTACATATGCTATACAATTTTTCTTGCTTCTTTGGGCTTATTACTTTTTAAATGGTTCCTCTTAATGAGTATGATAGATGACAAAAGGATCACTGCTCTTCATATCCATGCAAAGATGAAAAATTAAGCTCTCAAAGGAAAGACAACCTCAAGAAAATGTGGTTTTGAGCAGTTCATTACAGATAGAAAAAGCAGAAATCAAATAATATCTTCACCTGTACTGAGATAGGGAGTTCTTATTAGCAAGAAGAATGTCACTGGTTCTAAAGACCCTTAGCTAAAAGGAATTTCTTCCAGTTCCAAGGAAACTATAAACAAGAGATACACAATAGTACATGTTGAAATGATGGATAAAGTATAAAGAAGAAAAAATAAATGGAAACACTTTTTTTAAAGTGGTGGGCATTTTTAACTTGCAATATACATATGAAATAAGAAGAAAAGGAGTTAGGGATATTATTAAGATGTCTCATTTCTGCATGCCAACTTATGGCCTTCTGATTTAGCAAGCTATGTATTATTATATGCATTCTTTTATAAAGTTGATAAGATGTTTTCTTCTTCCAGAAACTCTATTTTCCAGGCAGGTCTAAATTTGAGAGCTTTACCTGAAGATGTATTACTCATCCGTCATTAAAGCACCGTCACCACGATGATGTATAGTTCCAATACATCATCAGATTGCCATCACCCTCGTGATGTATTACTTACACTGAAATAGCTGTCAGGAACAGGTTGTGGAAACTCAGCAACTTTTAATATGTTCTTTTTAAAACAGTTAAAAACATTTCTTTCTATGAAAAACTTCATGTTAAATGTAGCTTGACCAAAATTTTTTACCTTATAATCAACAATGTAATATGTTTGCTCTTTTATTTTGAGATACCCATAATTAACAGCTGAAAATTGATAAGATCAAAAGCCTATGAGATTACCAACAGAAAAAGACCATTGAACCAATGTTTGGTTGAAAAAGAATTCCAAAATATACTCATAAAAATGAGTTCCTGTCACTTTCAGAAAAATTTGAAGATATTTTAATAATAAAGCCAGTTCTCAAAATATGTTGTGATTTCTTTTTCTGTTTAGAAATTGAAAAAAAGAATCATTAAAATATTTTATAGACTAACTTATTTTTCCATTCATTGAAATTATAGAAATATTCAAGATATTGTATCTGGGGATAAAAAAGATCCTTTAATTTATCATTTGATAGATTATTTAAATCATAAATAGTTTGATTATTTAATTTGTGTTTAATAGACATTGCCTAACATTATTCAAAGTTGTTTCCAGGAAACAAATTTA